CTTGTCGCTGATGGACAGACGCCGCTTGATCCCATCGGATTCGAGACACGTTGAAGAACGCCAATACCTTGGTCGAGAGTTGCGCAGGAGTCTGCAAATGGACCGCGAAGCTTGGTGGTGTGAACGTGCTAGGGAGATGGAGCTTGCTAGTCTCTGTGGTAATACCAGGAAACTCTTCAATCTCCTTCGAGTCACCGAAGGTGTTCGATCTGGTATAAGTGAAACAATATACGAAGAGGATGGCACCTTAATCACCAACCTTCAACGACGGTTGGAGCGATGAGCTGAACATTTTGGCTCGCAGTTTTGTTGGCCCCCAGCTCCATCTGCTACCTCTGGCGCTCGCGCTGGGTCCGAGTGGTCTACCTCAACAGACCCTCCCTCTTCCCAGGAAATCGAGCAGGAGCTTCGGCACATGAAGCATTATAAAGCCCCCGGCCCTGATGGTCTTCACCCAGCTCTATTTAAAGATGGTGGCGCATCGCTGGTCTGAGAACTCACCGCTTTGTTCTCGAAAATTTGGTCGAAAGAGAAGGTTCTATTATCTTGGGGTGAATCGATAGTCGTCCCTATATGCAAAAAGGGCCTGCGCACAATCTCCTCCAACTACAGAAGAATAAGTTTAGTCCCCGCCGTTTGCAAGCTGCTGGTGTCCATCATACTTCGCAGGCTATCCCCAACACGCGAATCGTTGCAACGAGAAGAACAAGCTGGGTTTCGCCCTGGTCGCGGCTGCATCGATCAAATCTTCACACTTCGCCAGATCCTCGAGCTCCGCCATGTGTATCAGAGGCCAACGATTGCTGTGTTCCTGGATATCCGTGCAGCCTTCGATTCTGTCGATCGTACAGTACTGTGGCAGTGCCTTCTGAGGAACGGTGTCCCCGAGAAGTTCGTCTCCATACTGCGCGCTGTACACAGTCTGACCTCGGGCAGGGTTGGGGCTTATGACATGCTTTCGCCTACCTTTGTGGTCTCCAGTGGAGTTCGACAAGGATGCCCTATCTCTCCGTTCCTATTCAACTTTGCCATTGAGGATGTCCTGAAGAATGCTCTGAGCGATTCGTTGAACGCTGGCGTTGAGTTCCTCCCAGGTAGTCGAGTTGTTGATTTGGATTATGCTGATGATATCGTCTTGCTGGGTGACGATCCACAGGTCGTCCAACTTGCATTAAACCGCTTGACGATTGAAGCATCAAAGTACGGTATGTACTTTTCGCCATCCAAATGCAAGGCTCTCCTTCAAGACTGGCAGGTGCCTGTGCCTGCACTCACACTTGCTGGTGAGACACTGGAGGTTGTGGAGAGCTTTGTCTACTTGGGAAGTTGCATCACTGCTGGCGGGGCTGTTGGAGACGAGATTTCGATGCGCATCTCGAGAGCACGCCTCGCTTTTTCTAGGCTGAGGCATTTGGGGCGTCGCCACGACATTCGTCTCTCCATCAAAGGGCGGGTCTATTGTGCAACTGTTCGTGCTGTACTGTTGTACGGATGCGAGACCTGGCCCATTCGTAAAGATGACTTGCGCAGGCTATCCGTCTTCGAGCACCGCTGTCTGCGGTCCATTGCCCGTGTGTGGTGGCAGCACCACGTAAGCAATGTGGAAGTTAGACAGCGTGTCTTGGGACGGGGAAGCCACTCGCTTGAGGAGCTCATCTCACTGCATCAACTGCGGTGGTTGGGACACGTATTGCGCATGCCTGTCCAGCGTTACCCCCGTCGTGCGTTGTTTGCACTTGCTGGACAGGGCTGGAAGAGACGGTCTGGTGGACAGCCTACAACATGGAGAAGCCGCATGAAAAAGTTGACGAAACAGTTGGCCTCGGCCGGTTGTTGTCGACTACCTGGTTGGGGTCCGAGAGATGAGGATACTTGCTGGTTGAAGACCTTGGAAGTTATGGCTCAAGATCGATGTCAATGGCGGACGTGTGCATCGGTTTGTTGCGGTGTCCCTTCTTCCTCCCCCTAAAAAAGAACAAACTGAAAAAAATTCAAAATTTGTGAGTGGTAAACTTGACAAAAAAAGCATTTGTTGTTGCTCTTTTCTTATTATTCATATTGTTTTCCTATTCAGCCATGATTCCGATGGCACAATATCTGTACCACAGATTGTGTATTATATATATATATATATATATATATATATATGTGCCTATACAGGCGATATATGGATGTCACCTTGGTGATTGCCCCAAATGTAGCGACTGTTCAGTCTGTTCTCAGTGCCCTCAACAATGCACATCCCAACGGCCTTTCACCTGTGAGCTAGAAGATAACAATTGTCTTGCTTTTCTGAATGTATTGTTGACAAGACGATGGCTCAATAAAACGTTTTGTTTACGGGAAAGCTACATGCCCAGGCTTATATGAGAACTTAAATAACTTTGCGCCGGTCCAATACGATCGTTGTCTTGTCAAGACGTTCGATCGTGCCCGTAGAATATGCAGTGCTGACTGTGTGGTTTCGGAATTATCGTTCATCACACAGGCATTACAGGCCAATGGATATCCAGAGGCATTCATCCGATTTTACAGTCACCCGAAGGAAAACAAACTAAGAGTACTTACTGTGCCCAAAATGCCCGTCTATTTACAGCTATCCTTCAGAAGTAATGAGATGACGGCGCAAATTGAACGATGAGTGAACACAGCTATTCGCCGTACATTTAACGCTGCCAAACTCTGTCCTATCTGGACAACCAAAAAGTTGCTGATGCCCCCAATCAAACCTACTCAACCGGTCTCCGCCACAACTCATTGCATTTACCAATTCGTCTGTACCTGCAGAAGCAGTTACATTGGCAGAACAGATCGTTGTCTGAGTCAGCGGATTGGAGAGCACATTCCGAAGCGAATTGCTGGGTTGATGGCACAACAAGCAACCGGACAAGGAGCAGCAGGCAAGCTGTCGGCATCATCCATTGCTAGACACCTAGTCGGTACATGTCATCAAGTTGACCCTGGGTCAACTTTTACGGTTATCTACCGAAACGAAAACGCCAGGGTGCTGAAGTTTGCAGAGGCTGTGGCCCTAAATCGTTACCGTCCCACCTTTTGTATGCAAAAGCTACTGACAACATCCCTTAAGCTTCCTTGGGGTTCATGACCTTTGCCCCAGAGCTACCAGCTATTGTTTTGTGTTCGTGTGCCTATTTTGTGACCAATTCAAATTGATCGTTTCCTTCCTTTACGTGATCTATATATGTTGTTAGTTTGCAAGTGATCAGATAACACGAAATGGTGCCATCTTGCAGTGCTCGTCTTCTTATTGTTTTGTTCAGACTGATACAGGGAACACGATGCTTTAAAGTTCCAAAGACATGTTCTATCTATGGAGTCAAAGAATGTCAAAAAACACCACCATTGTCGGTCTTCGGTGGGCGTGACGATGTTCAAGAATTTGACGCAGCGTGACGACCTGGTCGGTGTATCCTCCACCGTTGCGAAAACCAGCTTGTTCCTCGTGGGACAAACTCTCGAGTAGCTTAAAGCCTGCGGAGTGATATGGACACGAAAAACTTTAGGGGCTACCGATATAAATAATATTCCTCGATAGTCTATGCAATCGTTACGCGAGCCTTTCTTGTAAATCGGGACCACGATAGACTTGCCCAAGGGTTAGAAATCTTCTCATCGATCCACACTTTAGTGAAAAACAAGAGCACATCGCTATTAACTGTATTTCCTCCATCTTTGAATAGGACCGGAGGAAGGCTGTCAGGGCCTGGTAATTTGTATCGTTTCAGAGTCCGGATTTCTTTCTGAATCTCAGCCTCGGTGGGAGAACCTGTGCACACGGGTCATGCATCACATGTTAGCAAAGGGGATGTCACCGGTGGTTGAGTTCGGTAATTACATTAAAGTGCAAAGTACTCAGCCGTGCAATCCAGACAGTTGCGTAGATTAGCGATCCTCATACCGTCTAACCCGCAGATTGTCTCACTGAGGACATTTGATTTGCATCCAGTGGCTCTGATGCGCTTACAGTCTGCGGATGTTTCCAGCAGCGGCAACAGCTTCCATTTCCATGGCTCGATTGGACCACCAGGATTCACGATCGGGACGAAGACTTGCTTTCACTTGTAGATATATGCTTCATCCGAATTCTCCACACTGACGGGAACAGACCGCCGACGGTCAAGTAATTCCGACGAGTCCCACTTTTAGCTGTTGGACGAACAAGACCGCAGGTCGACAGACCCACCGAAAACATGATCTGTTGTAAACGTTTCCAATACTGCTCAACGTCCAGAGGAGTGGGAAAGGTGATTTATATATATATATATATATATATATATATATATATATATATATATATATATATATATTGCAACCGTCTACTAATAGACATAGAGCCATCAGAAACCATGAGACTAAAATGGAGGTACAGAAATCGTAAAAGAAAACACAACACATCGGAGTCCATCGTTTTGTCAGAGAGCGAGATACTACCAGGTTGCCCAATCCGAGGTAGAGTGTTGGTTTAGGGAACACTGCCCCGAGCCTTTGGCCGAATAGCCTGTCTGCAAGGCAGCGGAGAATTAGAGGAGACTTGACCCTCACTTACCGTATTTTAACGGATAAGGTCGGTCCATACTTGTTTTGGCTGTTTAGACTTGCTAAATTGCCTAGACTCCGCGGTCACCCCTTGAAGCTGTATAAACTACGTTCTGACCGGGTTAGAACCGAAACTTGATTGTAGCGCCTAGTTATTGCTCACTGGGACTCGATTCCAGACTGCATAGTTACGTAACCTACGGTTGAGAGTTTGAGCGTCAGTTAGGTGTTCTTGGGTTGCAGTACCAGACCCTCTTCTTCCAACCGACTTTTGTCTTTAACTTTCTCTTGTTATTTCTTGCAGTTTCATTCATTGATATTATCATTATTTTATTGACGTTCTTCCTGTTGCTTTCTTAGTGTATCATATACTCTTCATTACTACCGGGTAGGATGTTTGAACAGTAACTGGTTGGTCAAGATGTGATACACTTTTTGTTTTAGGATTAACCTTCACAACATTATCCCATTGTTCCGATCCCGTTTGATCTTGACCTAGCCGCTTACGGTTTCCTCCTTCTGGTAGCAGGTCAGAAGGTGTCTTTGTAGAAAGCCAAGAGGTAAGAGGTCGTCTCATCTTTCCTGAAATACTTCTGTCCTTTACTCTACTTTTTACCCTCCTATTTTGTTTTCAGTTTTATAGCAGTTATCTATCGTGCTGGTTTGCGCCACCCTCGATTCAGTCTTTTCTCGACAAAGGTTGCAACTGCTTCCAGCTCGCACGGGGTGTTAGCCAGGCGCATCTTCCATGCAGCTCCGTCTCTTACTAGGTGGTTGTGATGGAACTATCCAACGGCCTACGAACTATATGTTTTGCATTTCAGCCCCCCAGGTCTATTGAACCTGCGTACGCTGCATCGGACGCTGAGGTCCTCCCCGATCGGACGCATACTACACACCCTGCGGAGTTCTTTCCCCAGCCCCGCTTAATAAACACTCGTCATAGCACTTTCTCTATTTAAGCTGGCTTATTGAGTAAAAATGGCGATCGAAATCGAATCTGCTGAGTAGAGTCACCTTTCTTACTTACAGCTGTTTTTAGTGTTGTCAGATTAATTGAGCAATATCTAAAAGAAAGCAACTTGACCCGGACACTTCAGACTTTACAGGTGATACTATTGATTTGCTGATTTTAGACCCGCAGGAAGAAACCGGCATTTCCCTTAATACGGTTGATTCCGTTGAAGCTTTCATGGGTGAAATAACAAGTGGCCATTGGGATTCTGTTCTTCAGGTCGTTCAAAATTTGAAGCTTCCTGACCATAAGTTACTTGATTTGTATGAACAGGTAGTTTTCATTATTTCATTGTGATGGTAGATTGTCATTGAATTGGTTGAATTACGCGAATTAGGAGCCGCTCGAACTCTGCTTCGCCAGACGGATCCCATGATAACGCTAAAGCACAGTTACCCGGAACGGTACGCGCATCTTGAGAACCTTCTTGCTCGTTCTTATTTTGATCCCCGTGAGGTAACCTGTTATTGTTGTATAACAAAGTTAGGCATACTCCGAAGGTCAGTCGAAGGAAAAACGCAGACAGGCCATCGCTACTGCCTTATCCGGAGAGGTCAGCGTCGTTGCTCCCTCTCGACTTCTGGCCTTGTTGGGACAGGCGTTGAAGTGGCAACAACACCAAGGCTTGCTGCCACCTGGAACAGCTATTGACGTCTTTCGCGGCAAAGCAGCTGTTCGAGAGCAAGAGGATGAGAAGCCCCCTACGCAGCTATCAACGACTATTCGAGTAAGTGGCATCAATTTGTTAATCATGTAACGCCCGTGTTTTCATCGCAAACGCTTAGTCTGAGGTCTGTTATCAGCTACAGGGTAATCTGAACCTATTCTTGACTGGTTTGACTCGAGCGGCTATCGAAGACATCGTCGTCCGTCTCCATTTACCATCCAGCGTGGTGACAACAGAGCCCGCGGACGTTAGTCACTGAGTTATTTGTTTTCCCTAGTGAATTCGAAGTAACTAAGTGAATTCACCCGTTACCTGTAGCTCAGCTGGCTTGCACCTGTTGCATTTTATTCCCTTTTTTCTTTTAGGTATTGCGGCACAGTAGCTGAGGTGTTTCCCACCTCTAGCTAATGTGTATAATGATGATGACTTAGTGAATTCAGCTACTTTGTTCCCTTTGCCCGTTGGTATTTTTTGGTGGCACGGTCCACTCGCATACATTCTGCACATCTGCGTGCACACATCCACGTATTAGGGGTTGGTTGCATCCGTTTCTAGATTTGCCTGTCACTGTTCTTGCGAACATCCAAGTGCCTGTGTCCACTGAGACGACATAAGTACTTGCATCACATTCAGCATCTTGAAAATGCTTGGAACCGATCGAGAACTCATGATTTCAGAAGGGATTGAAAACAACATAAAGGAAGCTCGGGTGAGCCTCTCAGCGTCGTTAACTCACACACCAGGCTCCGATGGCTGAGCCATTTGTTACGCATGCCAGCACACCGACTCCTGCGTCGTGCGGTGTTTATGCGACTGGGATCTGAATGGAAGGAGATGTGACCAAGCGCTGACTTGGTCAAGAAGATTGAAGCCCCTCACTTCAAACTTAGCGTCGGTTTTTGTTTCCCGACTGCTAGGCTGAAGTCCGAGAAACAATAAACACGTCTGGTGGGATGCTCTTGTTGATAAAGTTGGGAGCCGACCTCAGTGATGTTTGTGTTGTGAGTTTCTTTGTCCCTCCCTCTCCCCTTTAGCTTCTCTCTCCAACGACGATCTCGTTCTCAACGCATACTATGATATACAGCATTATTTTACTTGTTTTTTTAGTTTTTGTAATGTTTGATAGCTTACTTTTTGTATTGCGACACCTTAGCTGAGGTTTCTCATTCTCAGCCAACGTGTATTAATGTGGATGATGACACTTGCATTGCACTTGCCACAGTTTTGTCCGCAATCCCATTATTCTTTGTAAATCCCATGAAATGCAACTAGTGGGTGTGCGTGAACGTGATCAGTTGTGAATTTCTAACCGGTTCTCACACACCATCTCCATCCCCGATGTAGATTACACGCAGCATGTGTACCAAATCTACACACGACGTGGTCTGGATCTAGTCCGTTTCGTTTTGGAACCCTTCTCTAAGCCTAGTACTTTCACGGTGTTATCCGTGCGTCAGAGGGGGCATAACGCAGGAGTGCATCGATCCCCATAGCAATGACATACAACCTTCTAAAGCCAATGTTCCAAATGGCTCCGTATTGAACCGTGGTGATCTTTGTCACTCATCACATCATGCGCAGACGGCCGACTGTGATAGTTTTCCTTGATTTGAAAGCTACTTTCGACTCTTGTGATCGAGCCAGTTTGTGGCACTGCCTATTTCTGATGAGTGTGGCAGGAAAACTCCTTCCCATCCTCAAGTCTCTACCATGACTCCTGAGTTCAGGTAAGGGTCTGTCGAAAGCCTTTTTCCGAGTTCGCCAAGACAAATGAGGCTCGCCATGGTTGCCCCATATCGCATTTCCTCTTCAACTCCTTGCTCGAAACGATGATGACTAACACTGATCTATCCGTTTCTTCCGGACTGGCGTTTCTGCCAGGTGACCGACGCACATGGTCCTCGTATGATCTGATTCAGCGGCTATGCAGTCAGTCAGTCAATTAAGCAGCTATGATCCGGACACCGAAGTACAGTGGATCCAGTTGCCACAGCACATCAAAAGAATAACCATAACCATCAATGGCAAGAGAATCAATTTTTCGTGCAAATATGATGTAAGAAATGAAATCAAGAAAGAAGTACGTTGGGCTAATCAGGTGGAACGAGGATTAACAGCTGAATGAAAAAACGAATGCTAGATCACCACTGACTGCGCGACTGTACCATGTCTGGTTGTGCTTCCAACCACTGGTGTGAACAATCCCGAGGCCTTTATCCACCAAGAAGACACGCACCTCCCCGACCAAGTCTCTCCCCCACTTTCTACGTGCGTTTATGCCACGTCATGTACTGGCCACCTTGCGTTTTCGTCCAACTCGGTGCAGCCACGGCATATAATGCACGCCGAGAAAGTCGGTCAATAGGCATACAGAGGACATGCCTTAGCCAAGGTAAGCGGTTAACATGTAATAAACACCCGAGAGCGCTTTGCGAAAAACCAAATGGCGGATCTCAGCACCGCTCACCCGGTGTTCCCATCAGATGTAAGCATTACTTCGTAAGCGCCAGTGGTCAAGCATGGCTAGAGGTTTAATGTCTTCACCGAGAAATGGCCAGGTCTTTCATCCATATTGTAACACTAGTCTTGTCGCAGCATTATACACTCTAGCTTTCACAGGCTGTTGTCCCGTTGTTTCCATAACTGGTTGAGCTTCTGAAATGCCACATGAGCCTTAGTGATGCGCGAAGTTACTTCCTCGGTAATTTGACCACCAGTGGTGACACGGGTACCAAGGTGAGTGCACCGATTCACCCTTTCCAGTGGCCGATCATGGATGGCCAGCAACTCGTTGATAATGATACTCGTGTGAAGTTTGGAGGCAATAGCAATAAGGTTAATGCTTCGATGATTTTCGCTTAAAGTGCGCTGACTTTTCTTGACAACCGCCAATCTGAAGACACCTCTTCAGTGTCCCTAATCGTGCTAAACAGAGAAACAAGTCCAGTCAACAGAGTCGCCTCCACATTTCAGCAAAGATAGAGGAAGATCGTCAGGTCTAGAAGCCTCGTTTCTTTTAAACACAGTGAGTTCATGTCGAATTCTCCCAAAGTGGGAAATGATATCAACATCCCACATCGCATCAGATGTTTCAGCAAGCGGCAGTCGTAGCAGACCTGCTTAATTGCTGTTCAAAATGTTCCACCTAACGGGCTAGTCGACGACGCTGTGAGTGAATTAAATGTTTAACTTTCTGTTATTGTCTCACAGCATGATGGCTGTCTTAGACACGTGTTTCGCATAAGCTGCAAAAGCACTCCGCTGTTCCTAGTAGCATTTTCTCCATCTCACGGGCCACTGTCACCTGCCGACGTTCCCGGTCAATGCAAGGACTCTGTCAGTTGTCGTTTCAAGCAGTTATGGGCAAGCTGAAACGCAGTGTCCATTGGAATCTGTTTGCCTGCTTCAATCAAACTGATCGATGTCTCTAAAACCCATCGCAGTTCGAAAGTCTCAAGTTGGGCATACGGCAGGCCTCATAAGCCTTCTTCATGGCGAACTTGCGACAGTCTAAGTCAGCGTTTGGCTGACCTATTTCACTCACCACTTAGACAGTTGGTCATTATGTTGCTGAATTACGAACTGAGAGTTCAAGTTACGAGTAAGAAGGTTAGAATTTAGGCACTTTTAAGGCGGTGAAAGTGGGCGCCAGAGGTGCGCGCACTAGAGCAGGGTCTTAATCCGGGCACCTAGGTCATATTGACTGACAGTCCTAAATCTATGTGCGCCATCTGTGGCCGCTGGTTATATGGTCTGTTTGAGTCCAGGTCATAGAGGTTCGAAGTCCAACCGCACACATGCGGTTGTTCACCCACATCCAGTCAATTAGATTGTTTTCAACATGGTTGCTGAAGGCGATACCGACGCCAGAGGCTCGAACAGTGTAGTCATTGTCGACAGTCTCAGAACCAGAGAGGCGAAAATTTTTCATGACTGTTAGCTTGTATGCGCTTTTCGGAGACAACACACAGTGCCAAGAGGATGAGAGTTCGTGCTGCCCGGTGGCCGATCTGGCCCAGAGTGAGGACATTAAACGAACCTATGTGAAATGAGAGCTTTGGTTTGAGGTACCAGTTACATGTATCGATGGTTGCAGCTGTGTACTGCGTGCCAATCTGGTTCCATAAACGGTGAACAAGAGAGTTCCAGGGGGAGAAACAAACAAGAATAGGGAATATTATCGACGGGATCGAGAGGGCAGATGATACTCTCCGACTGCCTATTCCGAGAAAGGGGGTTTGTTTGAATTTTCTTTTGACTCGACAGTATGACGCGCAAGACAGTGGAGTTCACTTGACGGACTCCACGACATTTCGACGTGGGACAGATGGTGCTGACAAATGGCTCTCAGATCGACAATCACTTGGAAACATTGAATTGGTTATAACAAAGATGGTCATATCTGCTATGAAGTGGCCATAGGCGATGACATGTGAGTCGGCCTCCTCAACCAACTCAGGAAATGCACCTCACTCGACGGAAGAGAAGAAGATGCCTTAGCCACGCCTCTCGAAATACTGCTGTACGAGTTCAAGCTGTCAGCAACGTCATCACTCCATCAGCCTCTCCTGCACTTTATTGTCGGCCCGGAAGATAGACGGAACACTGCAGAGTCCCTGCCACCTCACTCCAGGTCATTTCAAGAATGAAGTCATAGAGCAGTAGACTTCCAAAGAGGTGTTATGAGGAGCACCTTCTAAATACTTGATCAATGGAGTTTATGCCGGGTAAAAGATAATCTTCCTTAAACCTCTGTAAAATAGCATAATACAACGATCGAAAATCTCGAATTATCTTATGCTATTATTGGTAATTGTGGAATGTTCTAGAATGAAGACTATTCAAGGACTTCACCAGAAGCATAAAATATAACTCGTCTGCGCCACGTCATTACCTTGTATCTCACGAAAGGTAAACTGATGACCGAGACTTCGCCTTTTTGTTCAGCCAATGGAAGAGACTGTGGTTAAGAATGCCGATCTGAGCGACGAGGCACGACCTCGAGGATCATAACGAAAAGTTTTGAAGTTGCTTACCCCCAACACTGTCGAGCTACTTGCTTATCAAAGCATTGACTGTTCATGAAGTCAATCATCCTATAAGGTTACCTGACTTCTGCTTTGGAACTTTTTCTGTGTAACTTACTTATCCTGAATTTTGTAGCACACCACCTGTCCTCATGTTATCGCTTTCCGGCTTATGCAACCGACGGTTACTTAGGGGTACAGCTTCAAACTTTTATACTTGCGTATTCTACACATGTGTACTTGTTCACGTGTAAGTGCACTGGATAGTTTTGATCCAGAGGTTGAATGTTATCTCATCGGCCGATAGCCGAAAGCATTACTCAACTGCGCTGTACTCCGGAAGTCACCGGTTTGCATCCGCATAGTTTGCGGGCGACCTCGCGATATATGCAACTCACGCGCGACTGTTGGCAGCAAAGCATCGTTGCGGTGTGTCATCGTACTGGTGCTGCCTATCATCTTATCGGATTATCAATTTCATTGTGCCCGGTGCCGTTGAAATGATGTCTGTTCGGGCGCTTGAGATTTTTTCGGGGCTAATGATGAATTGTAGAGTCTCCTTCGCTTATGCCATTGGAAACATTCGATCTGTGGTGTTCCGACCCACCTTAAGTATGCACCCTACTTAGTCCTTTGTGGTCGAAACAGCGAAAAATCAACAGTTATACCGTTCTGCATCCCGCCGACTTAGTCATTGAGAAACATTTCAAAGTGCGGTTCAGCTCATCTGTATCGCTATTCCCTCCTAAATAATCCGAAGATATTCTGACTCTTGGCTTTACGCCTTCCAGAATTTAGCAGATCCGACACGAAATAATTTAGTTGAAGTGAAACAGAACACATGGGACCGGATAATTCATTCCCTTATTTCTGAAAGTAGATGATTTCCGATTAGTCCCTCCATTACTCCCTATTCAACACCATACTGTACGCCGAGAAGATGCCTCCGAACTTGCGAATGTCTCGGAACCTCCATAACTTTACAGAAAACTACCGTACGTTACGCGAACATTACCGAATTATCACTTTTTTCTGTATCGTCTTACTGTCTTCTGCTAAAACCGCCCTAACTCCCCCTGACAACTGGCGCACCGCTAATGTATCTACACCCTCAGGTACTGCAACGGCGGTGCTTGCTGAGATGGCCTACATTTGATTTTTTTTGCTTAAAAGCAACCTCTCACTCATTTGGTCTTACCGGTTGGTGGTGCTGCTTACTTTACTAGATAATGCCGGAGTGGTTCCGTACTGTCTTGGAATTCTCCTATTATCACCTTCGGAGCCTACTGCGGATTATTAGACACCCTCATCTGAGTACGCTATAATAAGTGAAGTGTGCCAGCACTACCATACTTTCCCTTTCTCTAAATTTGCAAGCAGAGGATAATGCATGACCATATCATTTAGTCTCATTTATAGTCGCACTTTTTACAGACATTGGCCAAATAATTTTCCTAGATTATTACTCATCCCTTTTGGAAACACTTCTAAGCACCTTGATACAGGGCATGGGTGCCAGAATGTTTGAATTAAGCATACGGGACTCGTGTGTCTGTTTGCTTCTGTTCACCGATGGTAGTTATGTTATCACGGACGCTGCACTAACCCGTGAAAGCGAAAAATCAACCAGATACGGTCCTTGCGATCGGAATGACCGAGATCCATCTGAAGTGAACCGAGGTCTCAATAGAAGTTGCGTGTCGCAGCCCAACCACCCGACGGGTACTCCAAATTCGACTTTGAAAAATCAACCAACTTATGCCTGGAAGCGTTGCCTGAGTGAACTCGCAAGCATGCAAACAGGTTCCCACGGTAAACTCGTGTCGGCTTCCATTACCTTCCAATCTGCTCTCACCTCCCTGTTCTCTCTACGTATACTCTGATCAACTGAGACGATATCACAGCCTCTTTGTATGATCTGGCTTTTATTGTGCTTCTGACACTAAACTTCTTAGCAACTTTTGCATTGTTTTAAAATTACTCTCCTTTTTTGTAGCTCGAGTTGTCTGTTCAGGTTTAGGTTTGTTCTCCGAGCCGAGCTATTTCGTTGCAGACTTTTCGTCATCAGTCGAGGTGACTTCGTCACAAATTGTGCTCATTACGCACTGACGAGGTTACCTCGGCTGGTGATGAAAAGTCTGCAACGATATAGTTCGGCTCGGAGAACAAACCTGAACCTGAACAGACAACCCGAGCTACAGGTATTCCGCTTTACTGCTACTCTCCTTTTTATTTTGTAGGTCGGTCAAAAATGTCACATCGAATGTGCCAGATTCAGTCCGGATGGTCAATATTTAGTCACTGGCTCCGTTGACGGATTTATTGAGGTGTGGAACTTCACCACTGGAAAGCTACGAAAGGATCTAAAGTATCAGGCACAGGTAGGTCTGTAGGAAGTCAATTGTGTTGTCGTGAGCAACCAACCCTCTGGTCGACCTGTTGTTATTCAGTATCTGCACCGTACACCCTACTGGATCTCTTTGACGCTGTGTCACATTCATTGCTCCCATACTTATAGCCTAACGATGCAGATCTGTCTTTGTAACTAACACTAGCGCAACGTGCTATGAGAACCGTTTATCTGAACACGACGACGCACTCATTGACCGCAGAGCATGACCGCACCGATTATCCTTTCATCGTTCTTATGTTGCAATCTGCTTTGTTTCAGATTTCATATAATAATAATAATAATAATAATAATAATAATAATAATAATAATAATAATTGTCAGCTGTATGCCGTAACGGCGCTTCGCTGCCTCTCGGCCATCGCCACTTGCATGTGGGCTGAGTATCCCACAAGGACACCCACCTCTGCGTGGATTCGAACCGCTGACCTTGTGATTCCAAGCTAGACGTGCCGACCACTCGGTCACTGGCCGACCGCATATGGTTGGCGGCATCCGATTTCCGATTTGCCTGTCACTGTGGCCAGCTGCAGGACGCCTGCGCCTACAGAGGGACCATGGATGGCTTGCGCTGCACCACCCACAGCTCCAACCACACACCCCATATCCAGGGTAAAACAGAAGGAATAAGACCGGGAGACATGTGGATGGGAGCCACGTTTCATAAACGGAGCCGGCCCACAGTGCTTCACAGGCAAACACAAGCACGCTGTATATATATGTATATATATATATATAGGTATATATATATATGTATATATGTATATATATATATAATACACAATCTGTGGTACAGATATTGTACCATCGGAATCATGGCTGAATAGGAAAACAATATGAATAATAAGAAAAGAGCAACAACAAATGCTTTTTTGTCTATTTTACCACTCAGTTTTTGAAATTTTTTTCAGTTTGTTCCTTTTTTAGGTTGAGGAAGAAGGGACACCGCAACAAACCGATGCACACGTCCGCCATTGACATCGATCTTGAGCCATAACTTCCAAGGTCTTCAACCAGCAAGTATCCTCCTCTCTCGGACCCCAACCAGGTAGTCGACAACAACCGGCCGAGGCCAACTGTTTCGTCAACTTTTTCATGCGGCTTCTCCATGTTGTAGGCTGTCCACCAGACCGTCTCTTCCAGCCCTATCCAGCAAGTGCAAACAACGCACGACGGGGGTAACGCTGGACAGGCATGCGCAATACGTGTCCCAACCACCGCAATTGATGCAGTGAGATGAGCTCCTCGAGCGAGTGGCTTCCACGTCCCAAGACACGCTGTCTAACTTCCACATTGCTTACGTTGTGCTGCCACCACACACGGGCAATGGACCGCAGACAGCGGTGCTCGAAGACGGATAGCCTGCGCAAGTCATCTTTACGAATGGGCCAGGTCTCACATCCGTACAACAGTACAGCACGAACAGTTACACAATAGACCCGCCCTTTGATGGAGAGACGAATGTCGTGGCGACGCCACAAATGCCTCAGCCTAGAAAAAGCGAGGCGTGCTCTCGAGATGCGCATCGAAATCTCGTCTCCAACAGCCCCGCCAGCAGTGATGCAACTTCCCAAGTAGATAAAGCTCTCCACAACCTCTAGTGTCTCACCAGCAAGCGTGAGTGCAGGCACAGGCACCTGCCAGTCTTGAAGGAGAGCCTTGCATTTGGATGGCGAAAAGTACATACCGTACTTTGATGCTTCAATCGCCAAGCGGTTTAATGCAAGTTGGACGACCTGTGGATCGTCACCCAGCAAGACGATATCATCAGCATAATCCAAATCAACAACTCGACTACCTGGGAGGAGCTCAACGCCAGCGTTCAACGAATCGCTCAGAGCGTTCTTCAGGACATCCTCAATGGCAAAGTTGAATAGGAACGGAGAGATAGGGCATCCTTGTCGAACTCCACTGGAGACCACAAAGGTAGGCGAAAGCATGCCATAAGCCCTAACCCTGCCCGAGGTCAGACTATATAGAGCGCGCAGTATGGAGACGAACTTCTCGGGGACACCGTTCCTCAGAAGGCAATGCCACAGTACTGTACGATCGACAGAATCGAAGGCTGCACGGATATCCAGGAACACAGCAATCGTTGGCCTCTGATACACATGGCGGAGCTCGAGGATCTGGCGAAGTGTGAAGATTTGATCGATGCAGCCGCGACCAGAGCGAAACCCAGCTTGTTCTTCTCGTTGCAACGATTCGCGTGTTGGGGATAGCCTGCGAAGTATGATAGACACCAGCAGCTTGCAAACGACGGGGACTAAACTTATTCCTCTGTAGTTGGAGCAGATTGTGCGCAGGCCCTTTTTGAAGATGGGGACGACTATCGATTCACCCCAAGATGATGGAACTTTCTCTTTCGACCAAATTTTCGAGAACAAAGCGGTGAGTTCTCGGACCAACGATGCGCCACCATCTTTAAATAGAGCTGGGTGAAGACCATCAGGGCCGGGAGCTTTATAACGCTTCATGTGCCGGAGCTCCTGCTCGATTTCCTGGGAAGAGGGAGGGTCTGTTGGGGTAGACCACTGGGCCCCAGTGCGAGCGCCAGAGGTAGCAGGTGGAGCTGGGGGCCAACAAAACTGCGAGCCAAAATGTTCGGCCCATCGCTCCAACCGTCGTTGAAGGTTGGTGATTAAGGTGCCATCCGCTTCACATATGGTTTCACTTATACCAGATCGAACACCTTCGGTGACTCGAATGAGATGGAAAAGTTTCCTGGTATTACCACAGAGACTAGCAAGCTCCATCTCCCTAGCACGTTCACACCACCAAGCTTCGCGGTCCATTTGCAGACTCCTGTGCAACTCTCGACCAAGGTATTGGCGTTCTTCAACGTGTCTGGAATCCGATGGGATCAAGCGGCGTCTGTCCATCAGCGACAAGGAGTCGGCGGAAATCCAATGTTTCGGTGGGTGACGGGTAACTCCACAAGTGTCGATACTGGCGGAAACTAACGCATCTTTGATATGCGCCCACTGCGAATCGAGATCACCGTCAATAGTTGAGCCAAGCAAAGTTGACAGTGAGGCTTGGTACCTGGTTAAAACCGCAGCGTTTTGTAGATTCGCGACGTCCGGTCGGTAGTGGGCGCGCTTAGGTGATCCTCCGAAACGCATGCAAATCTTAGCACGAACCAATGCGTGATCAGAGTCTAGAAAAGTTGACCAGTACGATCGGCAGTCCGTTACGCTTCCGCGCCATCTGTAGCTGATTGCTATGTGGTCAAGCTGGGAGCACTCTTGCGTTTGTGAGGGCGGGCGCCAGGTAGCACTGTGTCTCCTCGAGCGTCGAAAACTAGTGCTCGAAAGGAACAAGCGATGATCAGAGCAAGCAATCTGTCTCCATTGTCTGATCGACTGCCACCGAGACCAAAACTACCCCCAATGTGGTGCTCGCTTGGTGGAAGGCGGCCAACCCATGCGTTAAGGTCCGCGGCAAGAATGACTATATCCGTCCTTTTGGAGGAACGCAGAAGTTCATGTAGTTGTTGGTAAAAGTTATCTTTAACTGCATCCAGGCTGCAGTCTAGGGGCGTAGGCGGAGACGACAAACAAGGCACGCTTAACGTCTCGACGCCTGCTTACGTTACATGAACCTCTTAGTCTGACCGCACATAGCCGACTGTTGACTGGGATCCAGTCAAGCAGAGCTGATTCAGCCCTGGCACTTAATACAACCCCAACACCAGCTTGACAAGTGGCGGCAGATTCTGGGTCTCCGGAAAGCCGCAAGTAGTATTTGGCGTCAGAGTTTACCGGAGAGGCCATTCTGATGACGGCGCTAGAGTCTTGTAATCTGGTCTCTGAAAGACAACTGATGTCTACCGATAGCGTTTCAAGAGTACGGGCCAGACATGCTTGTCGTCCGATCTGCATCAAAGTTCGAACATTAAACGCTGCGAGGATGAATGGAGAACCAGGTCGAAGAAGAGCTGGAGCTTCGGTGGAGTGAGAGACGGTTGTGATCGGAGGACATTGAAAACCGGGAGTTTGGCTGTTACTTCCATCAGTTGTGAGACGTGGGTCGTTTGTGACGGTGACCGTAGAAGACATAAGAGTACATGTAGGTGAAGGACGGGAGGTGGGGTGGTCTGTGAGTGGACGTTGAGCGGTTGAGTTAGGACAGAAAAAAGGCATAACGTAGCAGTAGTGAGCGGTGTAGTCCATGATTCGTCAGTTGGCGTGATACTACCCGGTTGCCCAGGCCGAAGTAGAGGGTTGTCTTAGGGGGCCCTACCCCGAGCCTTTGATCAAAAACCTAACCTACACGGCAGCAGGGCGATGTGAGGGCGTCGCAACCCGTTGGGAGCCGGTGACCAAGTAGATGGTTCATACGCCTTTCGGTCCGTGAAGGACCAGGGGCAGTGACTTTATTTAGTGGCGAGTCACATCCGCCACGTCGCAGTGTTGTTAAACGGACATATGTGGCTTATTATAGGGAGAACGCTTGCCAGGCGAAAACCCACCACGTCCTGGAACACTGCCGCCGAACCATTCGCTGGAACGGCAAAAACCCGAACCACCCAGCTGGCACCACGAGGAGGTTGTTCGGCAAGCCGGCCCCACGCTGTATTTGAGAAATAAAAGCACACAAAGCGGTGATTGGACCGTAGTCCGCTCCATACTGAGTGCATGGAACCACTCTTCGAGCTTAACAAGACCACAAGGACCGTGCACCCCGCCCCCTCCAGCAACGACCAACTGTCTCCTGGAGCCAGTATGAACGAGGTAGTGGGTAATAGACAGGTAGGCACCTTGTCAACATGCACATCAAGCGCAGCCACACCAGGGATATCAAACAACAATCAATCACTTACACCGATATAAATTAAAATGCGTCGAATAGTGCATACGGATGCGGTGACATAACTTTTCCCTAAATACATCGGTTACGAACAAATTCGCGATATGTTCAAGACGTCAGCAAATATATTTCATGAAAATGTCACAAACGCGAACATTT